CCCTAGGGATCCGGGTTTAGGGTTTAGGGGTTCAGGGTTTAGGGTCTAGGGTTCAGGGTTTAGGGTTTAGGGTGAGCCCTGTGTATATTCTCATAAGCAGTTGAAATTACTATACTGGGAGGCCCATGGGACTTAGTGACTACTTATAACTGGGATTCTAACCCTACTTATAATTGGGGTAACCCCTATAAGCCCATGTAGGGGGATTATAAATAGAGATTTCCAGTTATAAGTAGTTACTAAGTCCCATGGGCCTCCAGGTAGGGATCGCGAAGCTCAAAGTAACTACTGTTCAAGGGGTTTTGGGTGTAGGGTTTCTGGCCCAAATTTCATCCCCCTTAAGTAGATAGAATATGGGGATCTTTTTAAAATATACCCACAGCCATATTCTATCTAGTTAAGGGTACGTAGCACCTATAGACTTTTATGTTCTTAGGTTGGAAGAACTTCTACTTTCCTTTGTGGTTTTAGGCTGTGCGTTTCGGGGTTTAGTGCCTGACTCAATTCTCACAATACGAGACTCGGACCCTAAACCCTAAACCCTGCTGGGGTTTCCCCTAGGGACCCTTGAGAATTTCTTTGGAGGCGAGAGGCGAGAGGATCAAAAAAAAGCTTATCGTCTAAGCAAGATAGGAAGACTTTTCTTTAGCTACTCCATTTTTGAGACCAAGTAGCTATAAGGGTGCCACGGGATGGCCACCACTGGAGGCCCAAGGACTCGAAAACCGCCGATGCATCAGCAAGTACGGATAGATGCTGCTCGTCGGTGATGTTTTCCTCCCCCCAGCCTGCCGCAGAGATCAAATTCACGCATGGTCATGCCTCACTTTGGGGTTTAGGGTTTTTGGGTTTAAGGTCTAGGGTTTTAGGGTTCAGAGCTTTGTGATTTTTAAGGTTAAGGAGTTAAGGACTTAGGGTTTTAGAGTTCAGGGTGCTCGTGTTAAATAGAGGATCTCGGCAACTCCAACTCCAAATTTGGGACCCTATCATGGTGACATGATATGTATGCAGTATTGATTGTCCTTGGTGACCCTGAGAGATCCTTCAGTACTATTACTACTATGGTTGCTAACTCATACTGAGTCCGGTCAAAGGTCTGAGGTTAAGGTTTAGGATAGTACCTAGAATCATGACAGGGAATGAATTGAACAAAGACACTGGAACGTGAAACAGAGTTTGGGATTTATAGTGCTTAGGGTCAGGTACTCAGAAAAATTGAGCTTCGTAAGCCCAACCTCTAAATCAGGACCCTAGAATTATCCAATATCCCTAACTTAGTCCATAAACCTAAACTCTAGACCCTAAACCCTAAAAGGGTCCTAATATTTGGGGGTGTTGCAATGTCTGCGTTGCAGTTCGTGGCATCTTGAAGCCGCCGTCATTGCCTACTTGGAGGGTCAGGGTGGCTGAGCCTACATATACCCCTATAAGCCATATAGTGACCCGAGTTATCTCCATTATTACCGCACTTGCTGAATCCCCCTACCCTAAACCCTAAATACTATAGTAGCTTCCGTTTTCTGCTTCTCCATGATACATTAACTCAACCCTCTTAGCAAGTCCCTTCAGACTCTTTAAGCGAGGCTTGGCACAACTCCAAACCCTTAACCCCTAAACCTCTCAGCCCTAAACCCTTAACCCCTAAAGTCCTAAAACCCTTAACCCCTAAACCCTTAAACCCTACACCCTTAAACCCTTAAACCCTAATTACCCTAAACCCTGAACCCTAAACCCCAAAGTCCCTATACCCTAAACCCGCCTGATGCCCACTCCTCCACTGCCTGGGATCGGCGCTGCAAATGTTCCCCGTAAGCCTGTGGCTTAGGTTTTAAGATTTAGGTTCAGGGCTTTGGGTTTGAGATTTATAAGGTTTAGGGTTTAGGGCTTAGGGTTTCAGGTGTAGGGCCCCACTTCGGCGCCTCCAAGCTTGCAAGGACATTGGTTGACAAACGGACTGCGACGGTGACCCCGAACAGGGAACCACAAGAAAATAGTAGGCATATAGTAGGAGTATAAGGACGCCAGCAGGTATATTCTTGTTATGTTCTTACTATATTCTTGGGGTTCCCTGTTTTGAGGTTACCATTGGTTCAGGAAGTCGGGGTCAGCGTGGATGATTTCAAGACGATACTCCTGAAGGGAGAAGTGTCTAAGGTGCCTGCCGGGGTTTAGAGTTTTAAGGATTAAGGGTTTAGGGTTTAGGGCGCAATTCGTTAAACAATCCTGCACTTAGTCTCCGCATATATTGCAGAAAGAAGAACGAACAAACTACGTATAGTTTTCGTCGCTCTTTCTTTCTCGATGTTTGAAAGGGGTCTGTTTACATTATTCTTCTACTTTACGGGATCATCCTCGATCCTCGACGCCAAACCTTGAAGCCAAAAGTTGCAATCCTGCTGAAGCTCAAAAACTCAGAGGCGCACACGCAGAATTTCTTTGAGGTTTATGGTGTTTAGAACCCCAAACCGTGGACCCTAAATCCAAAAATCTGCTATGTGAACCGG